CAACAGGTTAATAAAGCCCATCAAGATCCAGGTGTGCGGTCAAATGGGACTTTGTGCAGTCGCATTCAAAAAAGGCAAATCTCATCGGCCTCCAAGGAAAATCGTCTCTGGATGTGGATTCCCAGGTGTGTCCTGCCATGATGCATTCTGTATCGCATGAAGAAAAAATAACTCACCCAGGCCTTTGAGGAATCTTCCGATGATTCGTCAGCAATCTCCACCACCTGAGCTACAGCCTTGGGAGCTGGAGGCGGCGGCGGGGGTGATTGAAATTTCACCACCCGGATTGGAGGAGGAGGCGTAGTTGGCGTCCACGCATTTGGCCTTGTCAATGGTGGCGTCGGGGGTCGACGCGATGGACGCACAATTGGCTTGTCGTCCACTTCCTCGACCGACTGCCTGCCAAAAAAAAAATTGAAAAATCTCACTGCTACGCCCAACCACGGTCCTTTGCAATTCTCCAGGATCTTCAAGGTCTTGGTGCTCTGGAGCGGGTTGGTCCTGCCAAGAAAAAGTGGCCATCACACGGTCCGAAAAGATTGGCACTCAATTGGGCCTGCTTGCAAGACTGTGTATGTGGATCCTCTAGATCGCCTGCTGCCTACAGCAATTAAGGCAATATTCCAAACCAAAATTGCAAACGGACTGGGTCAACCACACCTCCGATAGTTTGCGTTTGCTCGGACGCACGCTCTGTGAAGGTGCCGGATCCTGCACAGAGGCTTTACTTCTGGAAGCCATGGTATACAGTTTTCGTGTTCATGCGCCTCCTCGTTCGCGGCCATCGAAGCCGAAAGAAAATCCAAACTGGAGCCCAAGATCTCTGCGGGCGTTCACACGGTTTTTGCAAAGTTCACCTGTTGCAAAGTTTCAGCAGCACTTCATCTGTTGTAAATCTGACAACCTCAGCTGGTGGCCCACAGGGCGCCCTTCAGGGCCCACGGGCCCACGCACCCCCCACCCCCCGAAAAAAATGGCTGCAGAAGGCATCTCCGTGAATGCAATTCATGCGTGTCAACTCGTGCATGTCAACTCATGAATGCCAAGCAGACCTGAACCCGCAAAGATAAGTGAAACCACACCCAAAAGTTTTAAAAGAATCAGTGGACAACAAACCTTGCAAAACTGATGACCCCATTTTTTTGTGTTTAGACTGGCCGTCATACTCCCAAAATGTTTCAAGTTCTTGTTACCATTGCAAAAGTTCCATACCAAGGACATTCCAATGTCCAAAAGATGTCTATTTTCTCACCAGGGGCAGATAGAGTCGTTTTACGGTTTTTGGGCTTGTCACAAGTGTGGCTACACCAAACGCCCAAAACGCATTTCGCAAAAGTTTAGAGTAGTTACGCATGTCCAGGGAGTTGATTGAACAATTAGGAGGGAAACCGAGTTCGAGCCCAGGAAAGGTGTATAGTACTCCGTCTGGAGCGGAGGAAGCAACGGTTCCTGTGGCTCGCGGTCCCGTCAGCGGTCTTCGCGACGTTGGACGCGGCCAACGACCGGCGCCCGGTCCCGCTCCTAGTTCGGGACAGGAACAAGATGGGGATTTCTCCCTCAGGGCCAAGCTGGCAGCTCTGGAGATGGAGCTGGAGGCCATGAAACGAGAGAAAGCCGAATCAGAGGCCGGTTCAGCGTTGGGATCGGAGCAAGGCTTAGCAGCCGCCTTGGCCCAACAGAAGGCAGCGCTGGAGGCACAAACAAAGGTGCTCCAGGAAGCGTTGGGACGAGGCGGAGGCAACCAGTCTGTCACCGCGGTCAAAACAGACCTTCATTGGCCGACCTTGACAGACGAGCGCTCTGACTTCAAGGATGATGTCACCTTGTTCTATGAGGAGTTCGAGGATGTGTGCGCCTTAGCGAACTCCTGCCGTGGAATGAATGCCCGCGAGAAACTGCTGGCTCTCCGAGCGCGCTGCCGGGGAAGTAGGCTGAAGACCTACCAGAACCTGTACCGGTCCGCTTGGAAGTCCGGAGAGGTCCTGGAAGACCCCGAAGCAGTGTATGAGCGCATCAAATCGAAACATTTGATGTTTAGTGAAAGCCGAGAAGAGCGAGAGATCCGCGTCGATGCGGAGCATGTCGCGCTTATGAAAGGGAAGCTCACTGGTCACCAGTTCGAACCTTTGTTCGAAGCGTCGGTGGCGGAATTGGAAGCTGTGGGTCTTGGAAAGACGCAGCGAGAGCTTTTCCTCTCTTACTTGAGGAAGGTTGGGACCAGTCTCCAACGGGAGATTCGACCCGACAAGCGGCTTTGGGGACATGAAGACAAGCTCCGAGGGCCGCAGACCTGGGAGGAGGCTCATCGGGTCGTCCTCGAGTATGAGCAGCGAGAAGCGACTAACAAGGCCACCGCCAACGCCGTGTTCACGACCACCGGCGAAGCCACGCGTCTTGCTGCGGATCTCGCAAAGAAGGAGAAAGCAGAGAAGGCGAAGCGGGACAAGGCCAACAAGGAGGCGAACAAGGGAAAGGGCAGAGGCGATCAGGTGGCGATCACGTCTGGAGATCCCCGCAAGGACAAACTCTGCTGGGATTATCGTGATCACGGGAGCTGCAGAAAGGGTCGCGATTGTCCTTTCTCGCACGACAAAGAGCTGCGTAGGAAGGAGCTTGAAAAGAAAGGCAAAGGGAAAGGGTCCGACTCCTATCCGGCGAAAGGCGACGGAAAAGGAGCTAAAGGGAAAGGCAAAGGAGGGAAGGGCAAGGCAGGAGATGCTAAGAAAAAGAAGAGCGAGAAGCAGTGCCCTTACTTTGCCAAGAACGGCGCGTGCAAGAAAGGCGCTGACTGTGACATGTCGCATGTTTTGGCAACCGATGTCGGTGCTACGGGCTCGGGAGGTGGACAAGGTTCCGCTCCAAGTGGGTGGGCAGCTCCAAGCGGGAACAGCGTGCTCAATCCGTTCGCCGCGTTCTGTGTGGTGACGGGTGGTTTAGAGCAGGCTCAACCTGCGGGTGCGGACGTCGTGTTCGCGTCCGCGCCGCGGAGTTCATCCCCTGCAAAGATGGGCCCCCCTAGTTGGAGAACTTGTAAAGTGCCGTAACATATGTTATAACATGGGTTAACTGATGTTGTAAGCTGGTCTAAGATTGTGAAGTGTTCTAAGTTCTTGGTGGTATTTACGTTGCAGTTACAAATTACTTTCGATATATATAAGTAAGTTATCCTAGTTTATGTTGGAGGGTGCTAAATTAGTGCTAAATCACTTACAACTTACTTAGGGAACTTAGGTTTTTGCATTGAAAAAACTATGTTTTTTGTGGACGGGTTTGCAGAGAAGCGGTTTTCAATGTTTTTTGGTGTACTCTTCTTTTTTGTGTAGAACTGAGACTGATTAGCAAATCTTTGTATTTTGTGTTGTTTTGGAAACAGTTTTCTGTTTTTATGGGCGCGATTGTTTTTTATGTTTTAGTCGTGAAAAATTTGTGGGGTGGTGGTCCACCCGTACGACAGAGTAGTACTTTGCACACAGAAACACATAAATATGCAACACGCACACGTAGTAGAATATAGTGTAACGAATTCATTATGTAGGCCATGGAACAACTAGAAGCCATTAAGCTGGATCACGCCCCAAAATTGAGGAGTAGATCCTTGCCTGTCCGTGACGCATCACAAGACGCACACACACACAGTCCCTCAAAAGATCTGATGTAACCTGATGAACAAGAGGCTATATGTACAGTAGATGTACGGGAATGTACATCTACCGTACATTACCGTACATTCCCGTACATCTACCGTACATTACCGTACATCTACCGTACATTACCGTACATCTACTGTACATAGAGCCTTAGCCTCTTGTTCATCAGGGTGCACCGCGTTTTTTGGGCACAGGCCACAACTTTTTGGACGGACCACCGCGATCAAAATTTTTGGACTGACCACCGCCATCAACTTTTTTGGACGGACCACCGCCTTCAATTTTTTGGACGGACCATCGCCTTCAATTTTTTGGACGGACCACCGCCCAGCGTGTTCCTAACACACAGATGTAGGTCATTGTGTGTGTTCTGTTTTTCTTACGCGCTTTGATGGTTTAAAGTAGAAAGTGTTTTTCTTTTAGCGCGGTGGTGGTCCACCGAAGAAATTCGAAGCGCATTTTTTGCTTTTTTTGTTTTGCTTTTTGCTTTTCTTCAGCAAAGCGGCGCGGTGAGTGTTCTACATTAAAAACCCTTGCAACAGCAGCGCTTTCCCAGGTAAAAAGCATAGTTTTTCGATGTCCTTCGGTTTGGGCCTTGCTACTGGGAAACCTGAAAAAACATAGTTTTTGAACATCAAAAATCACCAATTAGAACTTATAGAACTTAAAAATAGTTACATTTAAGTTACATCTTACTTACGAAGCCCTCCGGCTAACTTAGTTTTAAGTAGTTTGTAACTTCACCAAGTAAGTTACAAGTGTTTTAACTAGGGGGGCCCATCTTTGTGGAGTTCCAAAGAAGGGACCCTTCACCGAATTGGACGAGCTCCCAAAGGATTGGTGGCATGTCGTGCCGAATGAGCCTGGCGGTTATCAATACAGCACCGTCGTGCAAATCCTTGATAAGAAGGTTGACACGATGTTGGACGGATGCGCTGGGTCCAATCACATCACGGAAGAGCTGGTGGTCGGGATCATCAATCGGGCTGCGGAGCTAGGCTTGCGCCCAAATGACAAGAACTTTCCGATCATTCAGTTCGAAAAATGGCTGTATCCAGAGTACGTGCATGGGATTGCGAGCGGCTCACCCGTGCCGCTCAAGGGTGGCGTGGTTCTCCGCGTCCGTCTTCTTGAAGGGGACAACCCGGACCGGGCGAAGCCGGGACATGAGCTGTTCGTGAGGTGCAAGATCGCGTCAAAGGGGACTAGCGATTTCCATGGTTTGATCCTTGGGGGCCGCGCGTTGGATTGCGAAGCGCGACGTGGGCTAGGTTTTCGACCTGGGCCCATGACCCATGTGCTGGACTCTCTAGGTGTGCATCTCCCGCGCTGTGAGAACCTCAGTGCGGAGAGGAAGGACAGAGCCTATCCTTTCCGGTCCATCCTCTCGGCAGTAGACCAGGAGGCTGAGGGACATCTGGAGCCGGAGACCGGGCCAAGGGCCATGGTAGTCTATGCAGGTGATGAAGGAGCGACGCTGCTTCCTGGGGAAGGCGCTCTCCTTCCCGTGCGAATCGCTGGCAACTGCCAGGACGTTGCCACCATACGTATATATGCGTCCGGTTGTGGCTCTTGAGTACGGTCAAGACACGGCACGTTTAACCAGACACATGGCGCCTAACCAGACACAAAGCGCTGATACGTCTGTCCATATGCCATAAACCATGTGTGCCAGGTTGGCGCGCCTGACCATTTTACAATGCTACGTCTGACAACCTGCGCACGCCCAAATCTACCATGAGTTGCGATTTGCTGTTGAAAAACTTTACCGTGTGGAATTGCGAGCCGATGCCTGCATAGGAAGATTTGAAACAACAGTTTGGAGTAGACATTTGTCATACATGCGTATATATTTGTGCGTGTGAGTGTGTTTTGGCGGCTGTTTGTGAGTTTGCGCCCCTAAACCGTTTTACCCGAGCATTGTCGCCTTCCCGCCTTCAGTTCTGAAGTGAATGCGTTTCACCGAACGAGCCCTGAACCAAGTTGGATTCCGGAGACTACCCTGGACACGTTCGGACACGTTTTTACCCCCTGCATGAGTCTGGTGGCACGCGGGGACACGTTTTCGCACGGTCCTTAAGAGCAAGGGTTTCATATGTAAGCAAAGAATACACAGCACCGATTTGTTCATAATTATTGAGATTCATGTCATACCTTTGACACGATTCACTTCTGATTTGAAGGAGCTTTTGCGTTCCCGCCTCCTATGTGCCACCAACGTTGACCTTGAGCCTTTTAACTTTAAGACAGGGTGGGCGACGCGCGGAGAAGGCGCAGGTGTCCCTAAGAAAGAACGCTGTCTCGCAAGAGGTCTATGCAAGTGGTGCTGAATTCGAACGGCGCGCAGCGAAGTCACGAACGATAGCGCTTCGAGCTGGTTAAGGGAAGCTTTTCCAGCTGCACTTTGGCCCTGCCTGCTCTCTTGAGTTGTCCTGGCGCGTTTATGCGCTTATAAGTCTGGACACGTTTTTGCGTCCGATGAGCACGTCCTGGTGGACGCCGGAAGTTTCGAGCTGTGAAGTGGTCCTTCCAGTTGCCGGCAAGGTGGAAGCAGTTCCCGGCATCTGGGACACAGGGGCTCGTGAAGGCATGGTCCTGGTGACGCCATACCAGGAAGAGGTCGTCCTTGAAGAAGGCGATCCAGTCGGAGAGCTCCGGGCAGGTGCAGTAGTCAGTGGGACTTGTTCTTGCGGAGCTGTCGACACAGTTTTCGTGAGCCAGACGGCTGGCCTGGAGCCGGACACCTGCCAGGAATGTGGATTGGAACAGCCCAGCCTCATTGGTTCAGTCTGCTATTCGTGCGGTCGGAAGGGAGAGATCAAGAGCACTCCACTCCAGGGGTGCAAGTGTCGCGCGAAAACACCTAGGAAGGCGCGTGAGTCAAGGAAGGGATATGGAGTGTTCGCCACGTTCGCGGTTGGTCTAGCTGCGCTCACGGCGGCGTACGCATTTGACCCGTCGCAATATGAGTCAAAGAGCTGGTCGCGGGCGGGGGCCTCGTTTTCGAGCCTTCGTCGCGAAGAATCGCGGGCGAGGACTTCGTTTTCGAATCCTCGTCGCGAGGAAGTGTGGGCCACCTTCCCCGGTGGTTGGGTGCGAACGCACCCAGAGGCCCGGGAAAAGCTGTTTGAGTTTAGTGAAGAAGCGTCGGCCCCACTCGCGCTGAATGTCGACCAGCTGGATTCTCGAAGGGTCACGACAGGTCAGTTTTTGGATGGAGAGTCTCTCTTTTGGGAAGACTCGTGGCGTGAAGGCGACCCGTGGGTCTTTAAGGGACGTCCATGGGTAGGAGAAACCCGTTTCTACGCGGTGGGTCATGGTTCTGAAGGCTCTTGGAGGAGCACCATGACCGAGCCAGTGTTTCACATAGTGGAGGCGCCAGGCGGAATCGACAAAATGGCAGAGGAAACGCCAACGGAGCGCTACTACGATGCGCTCAGGAGGTCTCTGGAGAAGCGTTTTCCCAAGGCCAACCAATTCCTCCTGGATCACCTGATTTCGCTTGAAGCATTTTTGGACAAGTCGATCGTTTTTGGTTTCAGCTACGGGGTGGCTAAGGCGGAGATCTGCAAGGAAGGTGGGAAGCTGTTGGGACACATCGTTGGGAGGAACGGAAGCGAACCAGACCCTGAGCGAGCTAAGGCCGTAATGGACTTTGCACCGCTCAGAGAGAAACTCCATATCCAGCAATTTCTTGGATGCTCCAATTGGTTGCGTATGTACTTCCCCGCGGAGTACAGTGTTTGTTTCAAAATTTTGACTGGCTATCAACGGCCAGATGCGACCTTCCCACCTGAAGGGCTCGGATATGGCAGCACAGAAGGCTGCAAGGCTGTTCGGGCCATCAAGCGCATGTTGGCTAAGTCAATCAGCTTAGCTATGATTGACGAGGCCAGCGCCATCTCCGGAGCTTGTCCGCTTGAGCAGGTGGCCGATGCCAGCGGGTTTGCGGTCGGTGGTACCGTGGTCCAGATGACCAGAGACCACACGAGGCTGAAGGTGCTCCTCACGCATAGCAAAAGCCTCACGCCGCCGCAGCAAGCATGGCCGCCTCTAGTTCAGGAGGCCTTCGCTCAATTGGAGGTGAAAAGAGCCACAAGGAAAACATTTGGAACGATTCGAACCTTATGTTGGACAGATCACGCGAATCTGACGAAGGCCCAACACATCGATGTGGGGGCGGACGTGAAGCTGGTCAGATGGGTGGCTGAAATCCTTGCAGATGGGTCCGAAATTAGGTCACTGAGCGGCCGGAGCGCTAAGCTCGGGGATGGGTTCTCGCGAAACCCTCGAGATAGGGATGAGCTGCTCGAAAATCGGACCAAGGATCTGCAGGGAATGGCTGGTCAATTGAAGGAATTTGACTTGGAAGCCTACCTTGGTGGCGACACTGAGGATCCTGATATTCCGGTGGCGTGGGCTATCGGTAATGACGTAGTGCCAGGGGCTGCTAGCCTAGTGGACGGCGCTGATCCCTGTGGTGGAGTCCTCGTTTCGAGACTCTACGCGGGAGCAACAGGGACCAGGCAGCTCAAGGTCCTTTTTCTAGGTGACTATACGAAGCACATGGAGAATGCTTCAGAAATTGTCCGGCTCAGGAGCACTTTGGCCCAAGCGATGCCCGGTTGGGAAATCGCAGTGAGAGCATCAGAAGGCCCGTTCGAAGATGACGTAGGTAACACGTCTCACTTGGACGGTGCCACTGCCAACTTGAAAGGGGAAAGGCAAGTGAAGAGGTTGAGGGTCGACCTCCTCACTGCTTGCGCCAAAGCGCTTCGAGCCATGGGTTCGTACCTGCCTGATTTCGCGGTTGGAGTAGGACAGGGAGCAGTCGTGCTTGGGCTGCTCAGACTTCCGCTTGTCGTGGAGGTCACCCTGCAGGCGCGTAATCTGCAGAGGAAGGAGATCCGGGAAGTTGTGTCCGGATGGTCAGGGGTGAAGTCCATTTGGTGCGTTAATCCGCGCCTTTGGAGGACGCAAGCTGGGGGCGACTTGCTGAAAGCGGCCTGCCCTGAGGTCAGTCGAGTCTTTCCTGAAGAGCCGACCAAGGGTTTCGGGGTGGTGACCCGCTCGCCAAAGGAGGAGAGTTCGCGGCAAGTTTGCGATATCCTCGGGCTTGGAGTCCTCAAGGACATTTCGGAGGCGCCTCTGATGAACTTGGCTGTGGAGCCAGGCAGGGATGTCTGGGAGCACGATGGAAGGTGCTCATGTGGCAAGCGGGCTTATGTGTTTGGGCGCTGCACCACTTGCATTGAGAAGGAGGCAAGTGATGATTTCCGGGCAGCTGCTGCTGCGCGGGAGGCGCTTGAACCAGAAGGCGCTGAAGCAGGGGATGGCGAACTCCTAGCAGAGGAGCTCATGGTATTGAGCGCCGTCCCCACGGCTCCGAATGAGCCCAAGGCTTGTTTTGTTAATTTTAGGTTAGTCCAAAGTTGGGCTAAAGCTTGGGAGGACAGTGGGCGTCCAGGAGGGTTTCATGACCTTCCTGGAAGGCTTGGAAAGGTAGCCGGGCTCGCCTGGGCGAAGGGAAAGAACCTGCAGTTGCCTAACTGTGGCGCAGAAGGAACTCCTTATCGCGCGGCCTGGTGCGTGCACGAGGATGGTACAGTCACCGTCCTCCAGTCTTGTTTGAAGGTGGGCCAGTCGAAAAGGCTTCAGGCTTCATGGGAGCTTTCGGAAGTCAACTGGTTCAATCACGTCCTCCTGCTCAGTCGAGTCTGCGAGGCCAGAGGGCAAAAAGGGATGCACTCTTCCCAGTGGCCTGCCGAGTTTAAAAGGTTGGTTTGGCTTGTGGGCGAGCCAACCGGAACCGTCGTTTGGGACGATGGCATCGGAAGCGAGGCTATCGGACGGCGGAGGGATTTGGGCTCTAAGCGAGTCCTGATGTGTTTCCAAAAGAAGGAAGCCGAAGGCTACTGGCTCCCGATCGCCTTAGGGAAAAAGGTCAGGGTAGATGAGGGTCATTCGCGTCCGACTCTCGCCATAGTAGGAAAGTCGGCTGAATTCAAAAAGGTCATAGTCTTGAGTACTAAACACTGGGTGGTCTCTTCGTGGTCCGGAAGGTCAACGATGTCAACGGGCATCGGAGCGATTGATGTTGAAGCCGAGATCCATGGACCGCCTCTGCGGGCGGGGGATCCGCCTTCGGACCCCTGCCGCGGGACGGAGGATGGAGGACCAACGAGGGCAGAGCGTGCGCAGGATGCCCGCTCTTTTGCTGAAGTAGCAGAGTTTTCAGTCACGGGTTCGCTAAGGAGCGCCCTGTATTCCAGTCAAAGGCAAGACGGGTCTCTTGCTGGGATCTTCCGACGGCCGGGGGATCCATACCGGGTAGGTGGTGATGGGGTCTTGGAACGGTCCGTGACCCTGGAAACAGGCGAGCAGGTTTGGGTTGTGGTCATCCCTGTTGGGCAGGCGGCGTCAAATGGTTTGACCTGGCGTAGGGCATGTTTTCAAATGGCGCACAGTGGGGCGCTGGGGGGCCACAAGTCCAGCGACAAGACCTACAAGGTCCTTGCGCGTACGGTTTGGTGGACCGGAATGCGCGAGGACGTTCAAAAGTGGGTGGATCGTTGC